ACAGCCATTAGCAATAACTGACTGCCCCGTACAGCCATTAACAACTGACTGCCCCGTACAGCCATTGGCAATAACTGACTGCCCCGTACAGCCATTGGCAATAACTGACTGCCCCGTAAAGCCATTAGCAATAACTGACTGCCCCGTACAGCCATTAGCAATAACTGACTGCCCCGTACAGCCATTAACAATAATTGACTGCCCCGTACAGCCATTAGCAATAACTGACTGCCTGCCCCGTACAGCCATTAGCAATAACTGACTGCCCCGTACAGCCATTAGCACTGACTGACTGCCCCGTACAGCCATTATCAATAACTGACTGCCCCGTACAGCCATTAGCAGTGACTGACTGACCCGTACAGCCATTAGCACTGACTGACTGCCCCGTACAGCCATTAGCAATAACTGACTGCCCGCCCCGTACAGCCATTAGCAATAACTGACTGCCCCGTACAGCCATTAGCAATGACTGACTGCCCTATACAGCCATTAGCAGTGTCTCACTGTACACTCAGTAGCAGTGACTACCCTATTCAGCCATTAGCAGTGTCTCCCCTGTACAGCCAATAGCAGTGTCTCCCCTGTACAGTCAGTAGCAGTGTCTCCCTGTACAGCCATTAGCAGTGTCTCCCCTGTACAGCCATTAGCAGTGTCTCCCTGTACAGCCATTAGCAGTGTCTCCCCTGTACAGCCATTAGCAGTGTCTCCCCTGTACAGCCAATAGCAGTGTCTCCCCTGTACAGTCAGTAGCAGTGTCTCCCTGTACAGCCATTAGGAGTGTCTCCCCTGTACAGTCAGTAGCAGTGTCTCCCCTGTACAGTCAGTAGCAGTGACTGACTCCCCTATACAGCCATTAGCAGTGACTGACTCCCCTATAGAGCCATTAGCAGTGTCTCACTGTACAGCCAATAGCAGTGTCTCCCCTGTACAGTCAGTAGCAGTGTCTCCCTGTACAGCCATTAGCAGTGTCTCCCCTGTACAGCCATTAGCAGTGTCTCCCTGTACAGCCATTAGCAGTGTCTCCCCTGTACAGCCATTAGCAGTGTCTCCCCTGTACAGCCAATAGCAGTGTCTCCCCTGTACAGTCAGTAGCAGTGTCTCCCTGTACAGCCATTAGGAGTGTCTCCCCTGTACAGTCAGTAGCAGTGTCTCCCTGTACAGTCAGTAGCAGTGACTGACTCCCCTATACAGCCATTAGCAGTGACTGACTCCCCTATAGAGCCATTAGCAGTGTCTCACTGTACAGTCAGTAGCAGTGACTACCCTATATAGCCATTAGCAGTGTCTCCCCTGTACAGCCAATAGCAGTGTCTCCCTGTACAGCCATTAGCAGTGTCTCCCCTGTACAGCCATTAGCAGTGTCTCCCCTGTACAGCCATTAGCAGTGTCTCCCCTGTACAGCCAGTAGCAGTGTGTCACTCAGAACAATAATGGCATAGGATAACTTCATATAACAATATTATACATACTAGAGATACAGTGTAATCATGCGTTTGGTCCCAGCTCTAATTTAATCATGTGATAACAGGAATATTAGGGCTGCAGTCAATACGGATAAATGATATTGGACCCTAGTCTTCATAATACAGCATTTTTAAAATTGATTTATTTCTATTTTTTATTTTATTTTATTAAAACAGCAGTGTTGTTAGTGTGTGTGCACTGGCAGTAAAATACAATACAAGTTTACACAGGAAATAATGTATCCAGCACAGTCCTGTTATATTGTCAGCAGGGTGGGTGGGTTACATGGCTAATATCTGCTCCATCTTGGCACAAGGAAAGCAACACTTTTTGCATTGTTGTCCTCTAAACCACAAAGTAAGCAGAGTATTTAAAATATAATGTTAAAATAGCTGGGCTGAAAAAAAAGATATCAAGTTTGGAAGCTTGGCTAAAATCCTTTGTTCCGTTCCCAATATTTCACATTTAGTGAATAGCCCAGCTTATGTAATCAATTTTGATTCTGGGATCAAAGGAAAACTCCACTACTCAAATACAAAAACATACCAATAACTGTTTGGTATTTACCCCAATAAAAACATGCATGCTTTTAAAAGGACACTTTACTGCCCAAATACAAAAAAAATATATAAAATTCACTGTTTGGTAGATATACCCCAATAAAAACATCTATCCATTTAATGTGTTATGGAAAGGGTACGTAAAACATTACTAATAAAAATAATCACACATAAAGAAAAGTTTGGTATTTATTGAAAGGGACACCAGAACAACTACTGTGATGTAGCCTGTCCCTGCAGACTTTCTAATGGCGGGCGGACTTATAAGGAGCAGCCTCATGGGGTTTGATGGAGTGGAGGTTTGTGGGTAAGTATCAAGTGAGTGTTCGCAGGTAGCGCGAGCCAGGTGTCAGGCGCAGGGCAGCGCGTGTGGCTTGTTTCGGTGGGAAGCTCTCGCTCAGGTAGGGATCCTAATTGGTTAATTGTGGCACGAGCTCCCTGCGCGGTAACCACAGGGGTATAAATTTAAAGGCACAAAACAAATATTCACCTCAGCTGGTGACAGACAAATCGAAAGTTCGCTGTCTTAATTGCTAAGCTGAAGCCCCATCTACCCTTTCCTTTTTTCTTTCAGGAATCACTGTCGTGACCTTAATAATATGGGATATAAGCAGAGGCGTAACTAGAAACCACAGGGCCCCGGTGCATCTTCCCCCGCCCTCCATTTGTATAACGCATACAGATACATATATGGACACACATGCTAATACACAGACACACAGAATTACACTTCTACAGATACACAGACAGACACAGGAAAAACATACAATAATCCAGTAAAGCAAGAACAGCATACAATAATCCCGGTAGCGTTATAAGGATCCTTCCTTCCCAAGAACTAGACGACACATAGGCTGGGAGTCAACTAAGGTTTTATTCACAAGCTCCAGTATTTATGTGGTTCCCCATGCAAGGGGTTTCCTTACTGACAGGGGTTGTACAGTAGGGGACTACATGGGGAACTTAACATACAGAACATTTCTCCTACCATGCACCGCTGTACGAGAGGGATACTCTCATAAGAATATTCTGTCAAGGGGATTATCCCTTCGTACAGCAGAACTGGCTTTTTACTTAAAAATCCATAACTTCTATTTTATTCGTGCCATTGTTCCGAATGACCGTTTGGCAGATAGGTCGGTATCCGAACGGCGGCCAGTCTGAAAACCTATTAACTGCCGAGAGATACATTGTTGCCATTCGTAATGGGAGCCACACAACCCCCTGTGTGTGGTCTCCCATTCGGTACTTTGTTCGTTTCACAAACAGTGTTGAAATTCACTGTTTGTGAAACTACTATATGAATGCTGGCGGCTTT